TCCCCTATTTTCTAATAGGGGTGGTTTTTTTGATACCATCTCGAAACGGCTTGGCCGATTTTGATGACATTTTATTATGTATGTTGTGTAGGTCTGAAAATGGTTTGTTATCTATTTTTTATACCCTTAAGTGGTAAGGGTAGCCCACCCCCATTTTTTTATTTTTTGAAAAAAAAATTATTTTAATTTTTTTATTTGGCATTAAAAAATACAAACAACCCTAAATTTTCACCGTTCTACCATCATCCCCTATTTTTTAATAGGGGTTGTTTTTTTTTAAGTTTTTTGTTACCATCTCCGATTGACCGATTTTGATAAAATTTTGTATGTATGTATATTCAGTACGTCTAAGAATAGGTTGTTATCTATTCTTATACCCTTAAGTGATAAGGGTAGCCGAGAGGGTAGCCTACCCTCATTTTTTTTATTTTTGAAAAAAAATATTTTTTTTATTTGGCCTTAAAAAATACAAACAACTCTAAATTTTCACCGTTCTACCATCATCCCCTATTTTTTAATAGGGGTTGTTTTTTTTAAAGTTTCTTGTTACCATTTCCGAAACGGTTTTGCCCATTTTGATGAAATTTTATTATGTATATTGAGTAGGTCTGAAAATAGTTTGTTATCTATTTTTATACCCTTAAGTGATAAGGGTAGCCATTCTCATTTTTTTATATTTTGAAAAAATATATATTTTTTATTTTTATTTTGCATTAAAAATACAAACCCAAAATTTTCACCGTTCTACCATCATCCCCTATATTTTTAATAGGGGTTGTTTTTTTTTAATTTTTGTTACCATCTCCGAAACGGCTAGACCGATTTTGATAAAATTTTATATGTATATTCAGTAGGTCTGGTTTGGTTTGGTCACAACCTATTCCCAGGTTATCTATTTTTTATACCCCTAAGTGATAAGAGTGGTCCACCCCAACTTTTTTTTTATTTTTTAGACAAATTTTTTTTATTTTAATTGTTTTATAGGGAGTGCTTATTTTTTAGGGGGTGCATGTCCAAAATTTTATTCTGGGTACTCACTTTCATCACTTAAGGGACCTCTGTACAAAATTGCATATTCCTAGTCCTATAACGGATTTTACATAAAAATTATACAAATGTTTACCCTTAGTTTTATCCCCTTAAGGAATGAATTCCAAAAATCGCTCTAATTATTCAATTACGCTACATAATAAACCTCTGTGCAAATTCTCATATTCCTTGAACAGAATTGATTGTTCCAGAACGTCAACCCCTCATTTCACACCCTTAGAGGGCGAATTTCCAAAAATTGCTTCTTAGTGCTAAATTACGTTACATAAGGAACGTCTGCAAAATTCATACTTCTAAAACCGATTTTAACAAATTTTTGTACAAATTTTCATTCCTTATTTTTTAGGGGATGCATGCCTAAAATTCGCTTCTAGGTACTCACTTTCATCATTTAAGGGACCTCTGAACAGAATTTCATACTCCTAGTCCTAGAACGGATTTTACATAAAAAATTATACAAATTTTCACCCCTAGTTTTACCCCCTTAAGGAATGAATTCCAAAAATCACTCTAATTATCAATTACGCTACATAAGGAACCTCTGTGCAAATTCTCATATTCCTTGAACAGAATTTATTGTTCCAGAACGTTCAACCCCTCATTTCACACCCTTAGAGAGGGCGAATTTCCAAAAATTGCTTCTTAGTGCTAAATTACGTTACATAAGGAACGTCTGCAAAATTCATACTTCTAAAACCGATTTTAACAAATTTTTGTACAAATTTTCATCACTTATTTTTAGGGGGATGTATGCCTAAAATTCGCTTCTAGGTACTCACTTTCATCATTTAAGGACCTCTGAACAGAATTTCATACTCCCTAGTCCTAGAACGGATTTTTACATAAAAAATTATACAAATTTTCACCCCTAGTTTTACCCCTTAAGGAATGAATTCCAAAAATCACTCTAATTATTCAATTACGCTACATAAGGAACCTCTGTGCAAATTCTCATATTCCTTGAACAGAATTTATTGTTCCAGAACGTTCAACCCCTCATTTCACACCCTTAGAGGGGCGAATTTCCAAAATTGCTTCTTAATGCTAAATTACGTTACATAAGGAACGTCTGCAAAATTCATACTTCTAAAACCGATTTTAACCTTTTGTACAAATTTCATCCATATTTCTAAGGATGAAATGTCAAAAATTAGCTTCTAGGTACTCACTTTCGTCACTTAAGGAAACTCTGTACAAAATTTCATACTCCTAGAACTAACACTTTTTGTACAAAATTTCACCCCCCAGTTTCACTACCCTTAGGCTATACATTTCCAAAAATCGCTTATCAATGTTCAAATGCGCCACATCTGTGCAAAAGTTCATACTCCTAGTAGGTACAGATTTTTTATGTATAATTACGTCCCTTTATCTAATAACACCCCCTTATGGGTCGAATTTTAAAAAGTTACTTAGTAGTGCTCATCTTAGAGAACGAATTAATATTCTCCGTATTTACTCCAGTTTCCTAATACTAACACAGATAACACATAATCATACTAGTTAATTTTTTATTGGAATAGAAGTAATTTTTATTAGAAGGTACAAAAAAATTAAAAATCTAAAATTTTATTTTCATAGCTACGTTTTTTTTTCATAGCCTTAGGATGCCTCATGTACTATCGAATATACGAAATATATAATCAATACGTGTTGAACTTTCTTTAAATATCGAGAAATAAAATATGTTTGGCAACACCGTACGAAATATCGCCGCGCGTAGTCCTCAAAATTTAAAATATTAGCATTTTCAGGCTTCGATTATGTTCAAAAGCGCCACCGTATGACAAATCACTAAAGCTTCCACACGAGAGTTCTTAAAACTATAATATTCTTTGGTAATAACTTTTTGTCCGTACCTGTCTTAAACTACTGGGTGAAAAAATATACATTTCCGTGATTTTTTACCTAAAAAATATTTCTTGGTAAAAATGGCTACGAGCAACCGTTCTCGAGATATTTAGACTGGAAATAGTCAATACATGTCATTATTGACAAAAAATAAACAACTTGAGTAGATAGAGTTATTTCACTGAAATAGTAAATTTGGGAACTTTTTATTTTTTTAAATTAATCATAAATTGTTCTTAGAAAAAATGACGATAAAAGTTTCTCTTGAACTTTTGACACAAAAACATTTCAAATTTATGATTTTAGTTTAATAACTACTTAGTCAAAATGTTTAATTTGTATGTGTTATATGTGTTAATTGTTATTAGTGTCTCTGCTATATCATTCTACAGTATGTCCCCGGATTGTCTTTACAAGAGGAAAAACTTTTTTATTACTGACATTTTCAGAAAAATGCATTCTTCATAAAAATTTTGCTTGTTCTAATATGATTCCGTTTACAATTTTCAAACTTCCATACCGTTTTAGAGAAAATTAAAAAAATCATGAAAATTTGGTTGAATTTTTAATATATCGCAAAATTTTTTTATGAACAATGAATTTCTCTGAAGATGTTAATAATAAAAAAGTGTTTCCCCTGTAAAGATAACCCGGAAACATACTAATACTTATGAGTATAAGCTTAAAAATAATAATCCAAGTCCGTATTTAATAAAATAGGGTGCTTGTCTTGTCAGATTAACACCCTCCGAATTTGGCATTTATTTATATATCAGTCGAAAGCATACACTTAAATAAGAATTTTAAGCAAAAAAAATTGCGGATGAACCACAATTTATTGAAAAATAAATAAATTAAAATTGCATTTTTAGGTTATGGTGAAGTTGTATAAGCGTGTAATTATTGTAAAATATGACGATTATATGCATGTTTTATTAATATAAAGGTCAGAATTAATCAGTGAGAAGCATTAATAAGTCATAAGTCAAAAATAGAGTTGGTGATATCTTTTGTAATATTTGCCTCTCAATTTCAATCAATTTACTCTTTCGATTCAAACTTGCCGCCGGAGCCGTCTGTCACCATTTGTTGTTAAGGATGTAAGCTGCCTAAGCATTGTTGCCAAAGTTATTTCTTGTTTGTATGATACATAATACCGTATGATCGAAAAAAAAAACGGCGTCCAGCTGGCTTGGAAATGACGATCGATGACATTCCCCATATAATTTTACATATAAAATGACAGCGATGTTCATTTCATAGCCATGGCTGACGCCGTTTTTTTTCGATCATTCGGTACGTTACATGATACAAAAAAAGAGTTGAGACCGAAAGAGTTTTGATTGCGTTGGTTTCAACCTTTCCGTGAGTGTGTTAATCTTTTGTTTTGTTTTTTATTTTAATACGAATCTGATTGCTTTCACTTGATTTTACGTGCCGGTCGCCGGACGAACAAATCCTTATACAGTAGCGCTGTCACGATAAGAACAGATTATAAGTTATTTTAAAATCAAGATATTGAAAGCACTCAGATTCGTATTAAAATATAAAAAAACAACAGATTAACCCCCAAACAAGTTGAAACCAACGCAATCAAAACTCTTTCGTGCAACTTTGTAGTTATAAATAGTCAGATCTCGTAGGCAAAATATCAGCTATGGGTAGGAGCAGTTCCTCAGACGATCGCCTTTTCTTGATTTTAAAATAATCTGTTGTCATAGTCTGTTGTTAACGTGAGTTTTCTTCCGACCAGCACGTGTTTTTTTAATGAACCTTTCAAGAAGAAATGAATGAATCTGGCAACGCCGACAAAATTTGGAGGAGTTTTCGCATAGAAAGTAGCCTGTTGTAGCAATAATTAGATGTTTATTTTTTCATTAAATTATGGATCATCCACACTTTTTTTTGGCTTGAAATACTTATTTCGATGTATGCTTTCGAGTGATATAAAAAAAAGTACAAAATTCGGAGGGTGTTATATCTGACAAGCACCAGCAATAGAATATAACTGTATCCACAAAAAATGTATAAGATACTACAATAGCAAAATCCTACTTTGTAAATAATTATCAAAAATCAACAATAAAACACCAACTTACCTTGGTTTATGCCGCTAAATATAGTCAAATAAATTCTCCAAAGCTTGTTTAATATCATTCTTGCTCAAATTCTTGACAGGATTCACTCATTGATAGACTAGCTAAAATAGAAAAAAAACACGATTAAAACATACTCAGTCTTCATAAAATACAATAAACCACTTAACCCCGAATTAATTTTATTTTTACTGTTACCCAAACTTTATAAACTTCTTCAACTTCTTTATTGACTATTATATTAATACGAAAAACATCAAACCGTAGCGTAAAGAAAGTTTTTTTCCTTTATAGCCACACACAATTAAATTCCTTACAATATAAAACATAACATAAATAAATGTCAACATTATGTAAAATATTTAGGTATTTTTATTTTAATAATCGCATAATCGATATTTTTTGCGTATGTCGTATAAAATCTCAGCAAATACGCTCAAAACAACGTTACATAAGCGGCATGCTCTCTGTCACCACATCGAAGTCAGTGGTCGAAGTTTTCGACCATGGGGGCTGCCCGGGCTAGACACTTCTCGATAATATTTGATCGCACTTGCCATGGAAAAAAATCTCTGGCGCTGCGACAGTTCGCCATATAGGTTAAAAAAAACTCGACCAAAAAAGAATAAAAAATAACGTAAATAAATAGAAATTTCGAAAAACTTACCTTGTAATAGACGTAATAGACTCCTAGGAAGATCATAATATACCGAAAGTCACTGAGGCACAAATATTTCCGCAAAAATATTGAGAAAAACATTGAAATATTTTTGGCGTGTCTCATACCCAGATATTTTTCCACAACTGACAGATTTCTTCCTATTTTGCAGTGTGCCGCGGCTGATGAGGCGATTTATTGATATGATATTAGAATACACATATGTAATTCAAGATTTTTACTAATGTGCCGTATATTTTAGCGCAAATTTTGTCCTGGTTGCTAAATGTTTTTAGAATATAGAGAAAAAAGCTTATTTTTAAGAAAATTTGTCTGTATTATTGGATCTAATAATGTTGCTTTGTAAATATTAATATAGAAAATCATAAAAATAACAAAAATGCTGTTATTTTAGTAATTTTTTAGTGTTTTTTTCTATTGAAAAAATCACTTTTCCAAATTTTTAATGATTTTTAAATAAAGTTTAATACAATAATTGTTTATAATTAATTGAGAAATTATTATAAAACCAAATAAAATTATTAAAGAAATCCTGGATATACAGTGATTAATTTTTAAAGTAGTTTTACCTACCATTATAGAGGGTGTCCCAATATTCCGTAGACATAGAACAATTAAAATAAGTACATTGAACACAATTTACCTCTACTAGGTACAAATACAAAAGTGCTTCGTTTGTCCGTTATAGGGCATCAATCAAAAATAATCCCGGACGTTAAATAATTTTAAATTTTTGAAGCTTGTTGTCAAATATTATTAATTTGTGATAGTAACATAGCATTCCATATTTTCACCAGCTAGATTGTTAGTGCATACTAGATTTAAAGCGCCTACATATCTTGGTGTGTCAAAAATATATACCACAGGTTATACTATTAAATTTTAGTAATAATTGCTAGTAAACATGTAGCTTTGTAAAAATTATAATCGTCATAGAACATACTTTATGCGATAACATCATACAAGATAATGTAAATTATTTAAGAACTACTAGAGGCAAATAAATCTAAATAGAATTTTTGTTGATGTCGTATTATGTACAAATTGTCTTGCCCGTGAATTTCTACATTTTTCAATGCCTCAGGAAATATTTCTTGCACCAAGACATTGTTAGTAATATTTTTTCTACAGGGTTGTTCACCACATACGACACGGAGTATTGTAGCTAAACGACTAGACTTTTGCAAAGTGTAAGTTTTGGGTTCGTTGAAGGACTATTAGAGCTACAATAATTTAAAAATATTTTTACAAGATACAGAGTGTCTCAAATAAATAAATATCAAAGTTGTATTTTTTTAAATGGAAAGGCCATATATTATTACATTTTTAGTTTCTAAGGTTAAAATAAAGGTGAATTTGATTATGGTTTGCCACATTTTAATCTTACCTTTTTTGAAATATTTAGGTTTTTGTCAAAATACAGTAATTATAATTTTAATGCTTCATTTCTCTATGCGTATTTAAGTTCTTAAAACCAAATATTGACTGAGGTATTTCTATTCACTGAATTTTGCAATAATAAAAATTATACTATCTGTGTGTCTAAAAATCTATATTAAATAATTACTAGCTTTAAACGGCAATAACTTGTTTAATTTAAATGGAACACCCTGTACATCTTATGTATGAGAATCAGATGCACAATTTAATTACATATATGAAATTGTATTACATCATTTTTTACCTATCTCTTCAAGTTTTCGTAGAAAATACATTTTCTTATAATTTAGACCTCATTTATCAATATACCCATAGAGTATTGACATTTTAGATTATTTTTAAATATGTGACAGATTTTTAAAGAGTACAGATACTAATATTATCGATATAGTTGGTTTATTTCATTAAAAAATAGAAAAACTGTTCAAATATTTTTGTTAAAGAGGTCCAATTAATATGATTCCCGTATTCAACTACATTAATTGACTGTTTGCGTTGAGTAATAATAACTGCCATATACTAAAAAACTGAGTCTTTCAGGTTGGGTTCTTAAGTTCCTCGATGAGTTGGTTTTCATTTGCTGTCCTCCATTCGCGAACTTCAATTTCCAGTGCTTTACGCCCTGGGCTACTCGAGAACGGCTCTGAAAGGAGCTGTGCGCAATAGCCTGGTGCGTTCATTTCTGGAAGTTCAGCGCAGTTCTGGAACTTTATGACTCAATTGAATGGAATGAGAGTATCGCGTTCTTGAACAGTTCAGAGCTGCACAACTGCGTGAATGGAGGACAGCAACATGGGAAGCAAAACGGTTCCAGTTAGTAGAGTGTTCGCTCCTTTTCTAGCTTGATCAATTGCTTTCTCATTGATTTCTATCCCTTGGTAAAATTGTATTATCTAAATAACAATTTCTCCCTTTTTTATTTCTAAATCGTATAGTAACCAGTATGTTTTGTGCCTTTACAAACACAGGTTCCCCAGAGATGTCTGACAGTATAATAGAGGAAAAACCCTAAAAGATAGCATCGTTTCAAGATAAGTTATTTGAGAACATGCAGAAATAATTAATCGAAAACGGTAGCGGCAGCTGATGTAGCCATCGCGTCGGTTTTTGTCGATGCGTCGTTAAATTATATGCGAACTTTCTTGCGATATGTCAACCGGGGGAAACATAACGAAAGCCAGATCGCCCATTAGCGTCACGACCTGAAAATTACTACAGATTAAAAAACGGCGGCGGCCAAAATGAAAAACGGAGAGAATCGCTCGAATGTGATGCGACCAGATAAAACGTTTAGATACAGTTTTCTGAGTCGTAAATTAAACGTGCGGGAGATCAGGTCAAAAACGGACACAATGAGACCAACTTAGAGTAACAAAAATGATAAATTTTGAATTAGTACAGCCTTTTGTTTCGATTTGCCACTCTCAGATTTAAGACTCTTCTCAATCTGGGTTGAGTACAAGAACAGTTAACCTAATAGGACTGCTCATTCAGCCAAAAGTGTCCGCCAGGTGCATGCAAAAACTACTCGCTTTGTGACGTCATTGTAGTCCTTGTCATGGTTATTAGTCCTTATCCGGCAACCAATAATACACACACTTGCATTATTGGTTGCCGAATACAAAACGTTTATTATTTAGTTTATTTATTTAAACACCTTATATGTATGCAGTGTAGAAAATTAACTGTATAAATCGTATTGAATACTCTAATTTTTAAGAACAGCAGTTCCCAGCATCACCTTTTGCAAGCTTTTTAGAGTACTTCCATATTTTGCTTTAAAATAATTAATAAACAAAATCGTGGGCACTTAGTATGCACTTTGTCACAATCCACAACACAAAATGAACGTATTTATACACTCTATAGCTCTTAAAACTTTAAAGACACCTTTTTCACATTTAAAATTGACAAAATAATTAACTCAAAATTTCTCAGCTGTTATTTTTATAAGTTTACCATAGGCAACTAATAATACACACTATCATGACAAGGCCACGAAGGTTTTGACAAGGACTACAATGACGTCACAACTGTCAGATGAAGCGCGGGAAAAGGTGAACATACGTCTTATGAGGATGAGGCAATCCTATTAGTTTACCGTTGTTGGGTTGAGTATACGTTTTCTTAAGAAGCTGACTCTACAATAATTATTAGATATGTCATAGACCGTTTTTCATTTCGTTTAAAAATGTAACCAATTTTGGTGCTGTTAAGTGCTCATTTACATTTGTCGTTTTTAATGATGTGTCTTAGAGCCTCTCCTATTCAACATATTCATGGCAGCGCTCTCTATTATGGATGATATACATGCTTACTGCCATTACTCGCTGACGAGTATTTGACAAGCATTAGAAGATGGCATTGGGGTGCCCGGGGGTGCCGCCCCCCCCCTCCCAGGTACTGCTGGGCACCCCCAGAGAAATCCTGAATTATGACTCTTGGCTACGTCTTAATTTTTATTTGCTAGTGATGCAGTAAAATTGACGTTTTCTAGTTTTGTTTAGTTTGTGTTCAAAAAATGAGTTAATTTTTATTTTTTTAGAAAATTTGTAGGTATTTAAGTAATCTACGGGAACACGGTTTGATAACCAAGTCTATGAAATTTATTGATAGAGAAATTCATGTAAACGTTTTATTCAAAAAATGTGTTTTTTAAAATTATTTTTCATTTTTAAAATAACAAAAGCCCTAGGCCCCCCCTAGGCTCAACCTCAGGCCTAACTAAAATCATGTGCACTCCCAATGCTATCGGTCCTTGAAAGAGCTAGCTGCTTAACATGGGGTAACATCACGAATCGGGTTTTTCAGTCATAGAAAAGCTCATGAAAGATAACGCCTTGCCTAACCATCTTCTGAAGTAAGTAAGTGTGTCTATATAGTCATTTCTCCATATTTCTTACTCTGTTACTCTGAGGTCAGTAAACGATGGACAGGCGGAAAATGTCGGCAACGCCCGTCACGACTCCCACGGTTTTTGAGCCTTCGGGAAAGCACGAGACACGACGGATTTCTTTTGTTTTCGTGCTGTTTTTTCCTGATCCTTGATCGTAGTCGTCGCTACCGACTTTATCAATCGATCATTTCCGACTCAATGAACGGCTGATTATTAAGCAACCCAATTTTCTTTCATCGAAATCGAAGTTTTTGTCAAGTCAAACGATTGTTGTTAAAGAACCTTGATACTTACTGTAAATTGTAAAGAAAAACATATACCCGGATTTTAAATGGCATTTCGAATTGATTCATATCAAAATCTAGTGCGATCTAGATAGTTTAAAAGTGATTATTTTTACACCGTATCATTTTTGATAGGTATATATCTAGTGTAATAATCCTTGTTTAATGTTCATCCAGTTCGCTGTTTCTACCGCAAATCCCATGCACTGGCCTTCTTTCCTATATCTTCTCTGTGAAATGGTACAAAGATAACTTTAGGGATAAGGACATTTGCATTCCAGGTTAATACTGCTTGGTACCACGTTGTAAGGTGTATGGTTCCAGAAGAAATGCAAAGATTATAATGTTACTGAGTCAGTAAAATACTGTTTCCGTTAGTGTTGAACTTGAATGATATTTTTATTCATGTCTATATACAGGGTGAGTCTAAAATAAGTGCAAATATTTTTAGGGGTAATATATTTCGATCCCAGAAACGCCATTATGAGGATT